AATGTTCCCGCAAGGCATTGAAGTGATCAGGCCTGCAACTGGCGGCGTGTGGATTCTCCGCGGGCCCCGGAGTCGCCTCGTCATCAGCAAAAGTGCCGCACGGTGGGTGTGCGTTTGGCCCTGCCTTGTAAAGCACCCCGACATCTCCCTAGATCTGGTGCCTGTGTGCCTGTGTATATACTCCCTAGATCTGGTGCCTGTGTATATACACAGCGTGTCTAGAGAGACTGGAGGTAAACACTTTTTTAAAAAGTGAGAGCTTGATTAGCCGAACACCACAAGGCCCTGGGAAATTGAATTTAAAGGAAAAATTGGGATAATTGGAACAGCGTATAATATCGAGAATGTTAAACACACACGTCAGCTGAGCACACAGAGTTTATGGCGAGCCCTGATTAAAATGAAGTTTCTGATAATCAAAGTTTTAATGGCAGAGGCTCATTTGAATCTCTTCTGTCTCAAAGGGAGATTAGATATCGTGTGCACAGAATATCTTGTGATAGTTTCCATTCTTCCCGTTGGGTCACATGCATGCTCTGTATGTATTTATTTCATAAAAAGTAACCTACCCTTTGGTCTGCCCCAAAATAGCCAAAACAGGACTTGCCGCAGATGTGTTTATCAGATTGCTCTGCAAATGCAAGGAGAGGAAAAGTCTGCCTATCGCCTCAGTGATTTCAAAATCAAAGCCATCCCAGGCACACCAGAAGCCTAAAGCGGCCAAGAGATAGGCCGAGTTTATAAACTTCCATAATATGTTTATTGCAAGGATGGCAATTACCCAATATCCCTGCCCTCCTGGGTCTGAGATCAGAATATTTCCACAGAAAGAAATCTGCGTTTGACTGCATTTAACTGGTCATAATTCCAGATGTCTGGAATGTTCCCACACCAGGCGCAGGGTTGGGGAGGAAGAAAGGAAGCTGACGAGCACTCTGTTACAGCTTTGTCGTCGTCGTCGTCGAGTGTGATGGCATGTGGCTGCTGGTGCCTCGTCCTGTCCCCCGTGGCCAGGTGTCGGGGAGCATGGTTGTTTTCGGGGGAAATGGCAGCCTTTTCTGTTCACCTCTGGAAACCCGACACGTCACATCAGAAATGTAATTTCTTTTTCTTTTTAATGTTTGTTTATTTTTCGAGTGGGGGGGGCACAGAGAGAGAGAGAGAGAGACAGACAGACAGAAGATCCGAAGCAGGCCCCGTGCTAACAGCAGACAACCCAGTGCGGGGCTCGAACCCACGAACCGTGAGATGATGACCGCCTGAGCCACCCGGGCGCCCCCCAGAGATGTAATTCCTTAATGAAATGACTGCAGCGTGCGTAATTTATGCCAGAACAGAAACAGCTGACATGGCAGAAGGGACACTTGTCCCTGTGGTTGCAGGAGCACATGTGGGCCACATCGCTCAGGACTGAATCAGGCCAGCATTATGGGGGCAGCCGGCCAGGAGAATTGCCTCCTCACGCGCTCCTGTAAAGTGTTAAGGTTATTTACGGCGTGCATCCACACCGGCCCATTCTACCCGGGTTGTTGGAACACAAATTTGTGTGAGCCCGACCGGCTGTCCTGGACGCCTTCCCGAGCACGAACAAGAAAGGCAGGGTAGTTCTGCAGAATCACCGGGAGGATTTATTCTGCCCTTTCCTCTGGGGCTCTTCTGGCAAACATTAAACCTCACAACACCCCATTAAAGGAAGGTGAAGTCAGGGCGCCTGGGTGGCGCAGTCGGTTGAGCGTCCGACTTCAGCCAGGTCACGATCTCGCGGTCCGTGGGTTCGAGCCCCGCGTCGGGCTCTGGGCTGATGGCTCAGAGCCTGGAGCCTGTTTCGGATTCTGTGTCTCCCTCTCTCTCTGCCCCTCCCCCGTTCATGCTCTGTCTCTCTCTGTCCCAAAAAATAAATGTTGAAAAAAAAAATTAAAAAAAAAAAAAAAAAGGAAGGTGAAGTTACTCATTTCACAGGCAGTAAGACTGATGCGAAGGGTTTGCCTCCGTGGCGAGTTATAGCCAACGGCACAGATTCCGCACCCCCTCCTCCTCCGCCCCCCCCCCCCCCGCAGCAAACTGTGAGATGTGGTGGCAAAGGGATGGCATGGCCAAAGAGGTCACAGTTTCTTCTGATCGTTGCGGGGCGGGGGTGGGGTGTTAAAGTCTGAAGCCTTTACCCTTTTCTCACCACTGGGCCAACAGGAAGACTTTCTCCACTGGTCTCTATGCCAGAAAGTCTCCAAAGCCGGGTAACACACACCCTACGTGATACACCAGACAGTCCTCTGAGGGGTAGGGTTGATGGGTTGAATTGGCATCCCACCAAAATTGGTATGTTGAAGCCGTAAGCTCCAGTACCCCTGAACGTGACCTTACTTGAAGATGGGATGTTTACAGAGGTCACGGAGTTAAAAACGAGGCCATTAGGATGGGACTGGTGTCCTTATAAAAGAGGGAAATTTGGACACAGACAGACATAGAGGAAAGACCACATGAAAAGACACAGGAAAAAGACCGGCCAGGGAGAGAGGCCTTGAACAGAGGCCCCCTTGGGGCCCTCGGAAGGAATCAACCCTGCCGGCACCTTGATCTTGGACTCCTGGCCTCCAGAACCGTGCGACGGCACGCCTCTGTTGTTTAAGCTACGCAGCACGTGGTGCTTTGTCACAGCAGCCCTAGGGAGTTAATACAGGTAGGAAGAAAATGCCAGAAGTTTCCTTTCTGTCACTATGGTGGTTTGGCTTCTTGATCCTAATTCACGGCTCACGTGGAATGGAAATAACACCGCTGACCACATGACTTTGTGGTGTCTCCCACTGTAGGTCCTAGGTGGCTGTAGTCACATCAGCCTGGGCTCCAGACCTGCCCCAAATCTGTCGCCTGGAGCTCCTGATCAAGAGGAACAAGCAGGGGCGCCTGGGTGGCTCAGTCCGTGAAGCCTCCGACTTGGGCTCAGGTCATGATCTCACGATTGGTGCGTTCGAGCTCCACGTCGGGCTCTGCGCTGACAGCTTGGAGCCTGGAGCCTGCTTCCGATTCTGTGTGTGTGTGTGTGTGTGTGTGTGTGTGTCTTTCTCTCTCTCTGCCCCTCCCCCACTTGTGCGCTCTCTCTGTCTCTCTCAAAAATAAACTTAAAAACAAAGTGTAATTTAAAGAAAGAGAAAGAGAGAAACAAGCAGACATTCAGCACTGACCCCAATAACCCGAAGGCTCACAAGGCTCTAACGACAACGGGTTGATTCATCTCTACACTGTGGGCGTGAAGTCTGGGGCTGATGGCAAACGCGTAGTGGTGGTCATGAAGTGGAGATCCCTCCAGGGAAAACCCACCACCCCCTACCTGTGGACCACCATGAACAAGAACGCCCCGGCCACCCTCGGAAGCATCAGGTACAGGATCCACAAGAACAAGGACCACCCAGATCCGTACGTGGCCGCCATTCGCACAGCCAGCGCCATCCCTCGCCGCCAGAAGCCTGTGACGGTGAAGAGGAAGCGGCCCGCCCCACCAAGAGCTCCTGAGCACCTGCCCCCCACCTCCAAAGCAATAGAGATGTCAACCACTTCAAAAAAAACGAACAAACAAACAAAAACAAAAAACTGCAACCCGGAGCCACTCCCGGCCAACCTGCAGCCTGAAATAGCCAAGCCCAGCCAAGATCAATCAGATCCCCACAGCCCTGCTGGACCCCGAGCAAGAAAAATAAATTCCCATTATTGTAAGCCACTGAGTTTCGGAGTGTTTGTTCCGCAGCCTTATTGCGGCAAGAGCCGACTGTTACAATGACCAATATGCAACGTGCAGATTGACCCTGGGCCTTGTTTGGGCTGTATGTCACCGCTCGGCATCCAGTGTGACAGGTGAGGAATGCTGAGGCAAGAGTGGCAGTCCTATGACTTGGACAGCCTCCACCTCAAATGATTTTTCACCTTCAGCAAATGGCCTGTTATAAGTGCTATATTGAGTTAATTTACAGATTGTATTATGTCACTCTAACCAAACTAATCATCACAAAGCAGACAAGGGGCTTGAAATGATTCCTCTAACGAAACTGTGGCATAAAGAAAGTACTGTAAATGAAAGCATAAGCTAGGAAGAAGCTGGCAGAGCTCACAATTCTCTTAGATTGAGAGCTAGTTCATTTACAAAATTTTTCACACTCAGTGGCCCCTCGGTGGCTCAGTCACTTTGGCGTCTGACTCTTGATTTCAGCTCAGGTCAGTCTTGTGGTTTGTGGGATCGAGCCTCGCATTGGGCTCTGCACTGGCAGCCTGCTTGGGATTCTCTCTCCTCTCTCTCTGCCCCTCCCCTGCTCTCTCTCTCTCAAAATAAATCAACATTAAAAAAAAAAATCAGGGACACCTGGGGGCCCAGTCAGTTAAGCATCTGACTCTTGATTTCAGCTCAGGTCATGAGTCACGATTTGTGGGTTTGAACCCCGCATCAGGCTGTGGGCTGATGGCACAGAGCATGCTAAGGATTCTCTCCCCCCGCCCCTTCCCTTCTCCTGCTTGCACTCTCTCTCGCACAAAATAAATAAATAAACTTAAAAAAAGTTCACACTTGACAAGAAGATAATTTGAAATATGGCTTTTTGACTTCTATCGTTAATAATGGACCTCACACATAGGCAGATGGCCTTATGATCTTAGCAAAAAGCATTAGCACGTGAATATAAGTTATAAGTAATTAAATAAACCTATGGTGGGGGGGTGTACTAAAATGTTTCACTGTTGGGATTGAGACCACTTGAAAGTCACTTGAAAGCTCACAAAAAAAGAAAAAAGGAAAGGAAAGAAGAGAAGAGATGAGACGAGATGAGAAAAGAAAAGAAAAGAAAAAAGAAAAGACTCTTAACCGACTGAGCCACCCAGGCACCCCAAGATTTGATCTTGTTTGGGCTCATGAGTTCGAGCCCCGCATTGGGTATAGAGTTCACTTTAAAATCTTTAGGGGCAGGGCGCCTGGGTGGCTCAGTCGGTTAAGCATCCGACTTCGCTCAGGTCATGATCTCGCGGTTCGTGAGTTCAAACCCCGAGTCAGGCTCTGTGCTGATGGCTCAGATCCTGGAGCCTGTTTCAGATTCTGTGTCTTCCTCTCTCTCTGACCCTCCCCCGTTCATGCTCTGTCTCTCTCTGTCTCAAAAATAAATAAACGTTAAAACAAAAATAAAATAAAATCTTTAGGGGAGCTTGGGTGGCTCAGTCAGTTGAGCGTCTGGCTCTTGATTTTGGCTCAGGTAATGATCCCGGGGTCATGGGATCGAGCCCTACGTTGGGCTCCACACTAAGCATGGAGCCTGCTTGAGATCTCTCTCTCTCTGTCTCCCAGTCTGCTCCTCCCCTGCTTGCTCTCCCTCTAAAATAAAATTAAAAAAAAAAAAAAAAAGGAAAAGGAAGTTAGCTCACCATATCAAACTGATTTCTGAACTTGTTGGATGTTTTCATTTGTTTTTAATGTTGTGGAATTATGATGGTGTTCTCACTGAAAGACCCATCCCCTTGAAGCACAGAGTACACAGAACCATGGGCTTTTTCCAGTGTTGTGCTGTGCGTACGCTGTTTCTGAAGCCTAGGGGAGACATGCTGTCACGGAAAAAGTGAGGACAGACCTCGGTGCTGGTCCTAATGAACACCATCCACAGCCAGGATCTGCAGTGCTCTGCGGCAGAGAGGGTGCCTGGGGCCCCTCACGGAGGCCCCGCTCCCAGCCCTAGCCTCCTCCTAGCTTTGCAAAAGCCTCCGTTGACCTTCCCCATCTCCAACACCACCATTCCAGGCATGGGGACAAAGTGTGCCTCACTGTCGACCAGAAACTCTGCTCTGAACCCATTGGGTATCCCTCCCCTCCCTTGTGCAAATCTTGCTCCGGGCAGAGGCACCGAGCAGGGTTATGGAGTAAGGGCTTTGTCACGGAACAAGACCTCCCAAGGAGGGGGTGGGGGGTGGAGTCTGGGAAAGGAAGGGTCTGAAGGGGAAGTTCAGCCCCAGAGCGGGGCCATGAAGGAGAGCTTGGGGAGAAGCCCATGGAAGATATGTCTGTACACCTGGCGGCCGGCCTGGCATGACGTGGCTGTGGTGCAGCAGGGCCAGCGGTCGAGAAGCAGAATTGCATGCAGGGCAGAAGAGAGTAAGGACAAGCTGGTACCTTCTGGCACCTTCCGGCACCTTCCGGCACCTTCTGTCGTTCACCGCATCTAACCACAATGACCAAAGAGGAGTGACAGCTGCTTCTCCTCCACCTTCCAAATGTTGTGCAGATTTCCCTTCTGCCCAGCCCTGATCTGGAACCATAAAAGGAAGGGAATTGGGGGAGACGCCCCTGCAGCCTGGCCAAGGTGACACGACACAAACCCCCCCGGGGGTCAAGATTTGAACTGATTGCCAGAGGGTCTGCTGTCGCTCTTCGGCCCTGCCAGTTTCAAGGGGAGGATTACGTTGCCAGTCCTCAGACATTCCTGTACCCCAGGACTGGGCAGGTGCACTTGGCTCGTGAAAGGAAAGACCTTCACGGGCAGCCTCTTCCAAGCCTCCCCTGCAGGTCAACCTCAACGCGGTCATTTTAACCCACTTACCACTTGAGAAAGATGATTTCAGGCTGGGAGACTCGGGGGGCGGGGGGAGGAGAAGGAGAGACAGAAACAGCTAAGGGCCTGTGGCAGGTTGTATTTTTCAAAGATGGCCACTGCTATGGACTGAGTAGTGTCCCCCCTACCCCGGAAGTCATACATTGAAGCCCTAACCCACAGTGTGACTGTATTTGGAGACCGGGCCTATGAGGAGGTAATTAAGGCTAAGTGAGATCATAGGGGTGGGGCCCTAATCCATTAGGAGTAGCATCCACATAAAAAGAGGAAGACACTCCTGGGAGGTGCGCGCAGAGAAGAGGTCATGAGAGGACGCAGGGAGAACAGGTCTGCAAGCCAAGGAGAGAGACCTCAGGAGAAACCAAACCTGCCAACACTTTGCTCTTACACTTTTAGCCCCCAGAACTGTGAAAGAACAAATTTCCGTTGTTTAAGCCCCGCAGCCTGTAGGATTTTGCTGTGGCGACCCCAGCAGATGAACACGGCCACCGCATCTCTCCCCTCCCGCAGGCTCTTCCTCAAGGCGACACCGGCTTTCCAATGACGACGACGTCTCCAGGGATGGAGTCTATGTCCCCTTTCCCTTGAACCCGATCAGGCTGTCGTGACTGCGTCCACCAAGAGAAGACAGCAGAAGCTAGGTCATGAAAATGCTGGGGCGCCTGGGTGGCTCGGTCGGTTGAGCGTCCGGCTTCAGCTCAGGTCATGATCTCACGAGCCCGTGCTAGATCTGTGAGTGAAGGAGCCTTCGGATGGCTCCAGTCCCCAGCATTCAGGCCTCCCCAGAGACACTGTATGGACTAGAGACGAGCTGACCCCCACTGGCCTCGCCCAGACTACAGATTTGTAAGCAACATACGTGATTGCTGTTTTGAGCCGCTAATTTGGAGGCGTTTTGTTATGCAGATAACCAGAACTAAGGGGCTTCGGAACAAATGCATCCAGGACACCCCCTGGGGGGAAAGGAAGCCAAGTCGGTAGACAGGCTTTACCTGCTTTGGGGGTCGTTGCAGTGATTCCAGACAATCAAACCGATACAAACCTCTGGCATCAAAGGCGACGGAACAGGCTGTCAGCTGAGCGTTTCTGCAAAGACCACACCCACTTTTACCATTCCCGTTCGTTTTCGGATGACTGTGAAAGTCTTCCCAAGGAGATCTGTTCATTATTATTATTATCAAGGTTGATCAGGCTCCGGACAGAGTTTAAAGGGAACAGATGTGTAGAAAGAAGATGGTGGAACCTGGAGGTCAAGCTGGAGGCGAGAATAATTAAAGGTCAAACTCCAGGTTTGCATTTGGTATTTATAGAACGTTCCGCGCTTGGTGTGACGGTTTTAAAACCAGGCTGATGAGGGAAGCTCCCTTCAGCTCTTAACAGGAGGGAAAGGATTTTACCATAAGGAATCCAGCCTGTCTAGTTCAAAGTTTTAAAAGGCAGCGTGATTAAGCGGCTTTGTTGCTTCGGGTGATGCTGTAAAGGTGAACAGGGCTGGGAGAGGAGGCTGTGTGAACAAAACAAAGCCAAACAAAACACTTTTTTCCCCGACCGGGCACCCCGGGCTGTCAGCCGCGGGTCCCCGGGTCATCAAAAGCTGTTTTCTCCTCCGTTGCTACCGGCCCCCCCTCTCCCCCCCAGGCTCGGAAGGAGCACGGAGCGCTGCTTATGGCATTTGACAGGGGCCAAGGCAAATCAGGGAGGTGGCGTTCCGGTACATTGTGAGAGTCACCAAAGGAGGCGCACCTCTGCTCTGCTTCTCGCCCCTCTTTCCCCTCCCGTCTTCAGCATAGAACATCACAGAAACTCCTCTGTGTGTCTTTCAGCTTGTTGTTATCGGCTTTCGAGAACTGGATGTCTCCTTTTGTTTCCTGAAGCTTTGATGGGGGGGGGGGGGGGGGGGGGGGGCGGGTGGGGGCGGCGATAGGGACCCGCGCTCCAGGCTCAGACCGATCTCCCAGGGATCGTTTTGCAAACGGGTCCCGGTCCAAACCTTCCAAAGGCGCGGATGGAGAGGCTTGTAAGAACTTGTCTACGCCGGCACTGCATTTCCTCGTGAAAATGGGGTTGCTCTGACGGACTGTACGCAGCTATTGAGGAGGAAGAAAGATTATGAAGACCACGTGGCAACATGGAAGAAGGCAGGCGTGATATAACGTTACACGAAATACCAAACTGTGCCCGGGTGTCGTTGCAACAATGT